ACAACACTGTAGGGGTTAAGATGTTTGAAACTTCAGGACTGCACATTCCCTGAAATGACCTTTTGACTATTATCTAGAACTGTTATCTATAACATTTTTTGGCACATGGGTTTGCCTTGCTTCAGTTCCTTCTGTCATGCTGAAGGCTGTAAGACAATAACAGTTGATTGTGACTGCATTACAAAATTCTAGCCAAATACTTCCACAAAGTGTGAGATCTCAAATACAATTCAATAAGTTGTAGGATAAAAAGCATCTTTGAAAAGTATTAGTCTCTGTAGCAGTATTAAGACCTATACACTTCTGGAATCATGTTATGTATTACAGGCACTGCATCCAATATGAATTTTTAATATTTAGGAAGGCAGAAGAGAGACCGTGAGCTACATTTTGATTTTGCAGCTGGAACCAAGACTTCAGAGATCAAACTTTGCAGTACAGGATTATACAGAAAATATGTTCAGATGTATTGCATCTCAATAGTACACCACATTGGGTTGTTCAAATTGAGCATTAGATGAGCAGCTATTTAAAGCTTGTTTATATAGCGAGTAACTGCTCATGCAAGCCAGGATGTGAATCGTACAGCACATCAGCTTGCCTCACAGTAACTCACTGTGTACAAAAGTCCTTAGTCTATGCAAGCAAATCCCCGTGACAATGCAGAAAGGTTGGGCTTTGTGGGCAAACCTAGGCCCTAGAAGAACAAGACCTGATACATTAACACTCCCTTTTATCTACAATTTCTCTTAGGACCTAATCCAATTGCCACAGAAGTTTTTCCAGTGATTGTAATGGTCAGGCTCTGAGGAATATAAAAATCATATGTTCACCTCAAAAGCTTTCCACATTACACCCATAACTATGCTTTGAACTGGGATAATGGAAGCGAGTGCAGCTTGCTCATTTGTTGAAATGTTTTCTCTGATAATTCTAACAAACAAAATTCTGCAGCTACCTTTATTATTGAACCAAGAACTCTAACTCCTGGTACCACAGATGTGGACCACATATTTCCATGGTAATGAAGGCCATAGTCACTACCAAGAACTTTCTTTTTCTGGGGAGTGAATTTAGCACTATGGGCTATGTGGGTACTACTCTAGATCAAGGGTGGGGAACCTCAGACCTGGGACAGGGTGTGGCCCCTGGCTTGCCTGGATCTGGCCACAGAGGTTCTGGGCTCCCCCCAGCATTGGGGAGCCTGCACTGGTGCTCCAGCCCTCCCTTCTCTCTCCCTCCTCCCCCCCTGTTGTCGCCTCCCTGTGGGGCTGGAGCACAGAAAATCTACCAGCCTGGGCTCCCTTAGGCTCTGGTGTGCAAGGGGTATGTGGGGAGTGTCTTTCTCCTTCTCACTCTAGGGTCACGTCAGTGAGGGTTGGTTTGTTTGTTGCTTCTCACTTGTGTGTGGCCCCTGATTGATTGTTCAGTGGCTCAGCGGCCCCCAACCCAAAAAGATTCCCCACCCCGCTCTAGATTGTCAATAGGGTGGCTTGGTATCTGCTTCTTGTGGTGCATTTTCTACAGCGGGAAGAAATCCAGATTTCAGAAATAAGGAGTCCTACTTCCTGGAGCTCTAAAGTTCTTTACAGCAAACCTCTCTTCTATAGTTTTCATGAAGCAAAGTTGGGTTCTGTAAGCTAACCTGCAGTTTGGGTTGCAGAATGTTGAGGTATCAAGGGGTAGCCCATCCTCCAGTGTGGTTATCATGAACATCGTCACAGAGGCCTGAATTGCCACAGCCCTGATTTGGCCACATAAGGGAGTAAGAGGAAAAAACCCCCCTA